TCAATCAAGGCTGGGTTATGAAAACCAAGATACATTAGAAATAACATTAATTGGTGCTTGTCTTATATGATCTCTGTTATTTAGTGATTCTGTCTGGATTTATAGTGTCAAAAACTAAACCTGAAATGAGACACCCAAACGAGATTTACTTTGTTAATGTAAGTAGGTTTCGTGTAAGTCAATGAACGCGAATGGAGAGGTTGCGTAAAACACGTTCAAGTACACTCGTTAATGTTGTTCTATGGAAATACATTACGCGGATATCAAAACTATTTTCTCGTAATTTTATAGCATATGGAAAATGTGAACTGGTCTTATCTCGATTTGGCATTCATCTTTAACATGATTTAATGTCTTAAAAAATCGTGTAGAAATATGAAAACTCTCCCCCTAGTCTGTAATGGAAGTGGAAATTTTTGGATCTAAGAACCTTGTAGTTGTATTTTAAACTAAAAGCTATCTAGTTGTTACCCATGGGCATTTTTATGTTTAGAGTTATCTCCAAGATGAGCTTATCATTGGTTAGTTAAGCTGATACCGATCTTTGTTATGTTCAGAGCCAGGTGGCTGAGTTTACGAGCATCTATCATGCGGTAGATGCTGATGAGACCGAATGGTTCTCCCTAACCTTATGGTTTACCGTACTAGCAGATATCACTGCTGTTTCCACAGCTTTACGGATGTCATTCCACGCTGCCTCGGGGTGGACACAACTTACGTGGCTGCCTAACTGTTTTTCTAGTCGTTCCTGAAATATATTCTTAGCTTGCCTATCATTAAGTAGAACCCTAAGTGGTTTCCATGCAGTGTCTTTCCTACGACCAGTAAGACGCAGACAGATACGTGCTCGCACAAGAGCATGATCTGAATCTAAACATGTGCCCCAGAATGATCGACAGTCTTCTATCGAGCCCCTCCATCGGTGGCTGATAGCGATGTGATCTAATTGGGTCCAACGTTGGGACGAATTCGGGGGTCGCCATGTCAAAAGATGTTTTTCCTTATGCTTAAAGTTAGTATTTGCAGGAAATAGCCGGTTATCTGAGCATAGCTGCAACAGACGGTTGCCATTATCTGTTCTTTTCGCCATGACAGCATAAGATCCACCCAGGTGTCTTTCCCTTTCACTTAGTTTACCTACTTGAGCATTAAAGTAACCTGCTACTATTTCTACATCAGAACGCCTCGCCCTTCGGAGAAGGTCAGAAAGTTTCCTGTAGAACTCATCTTTTATATCGTCTGAGCTGCAGTCAGTGGGAGAGTAGGCAGAGACGAAGAAGAGGTAACGACGAGTTTCCCTATCTTTCCGAGTCCTTACTGATCCGTTCAGTCGGACAGCGCATAGACGACTGTCTACTGGGATGCAGTCTAAAAGAGCTAGTTCTGCCCTAAGACTTAATGTTATACCTACTCCAGCGAGGCTACGGGAAGCAGCATCAGGGCTTCCAGATACACGAAGCGTGTATCGAGATGGTTTTTTATTTTGATTAGGTGAGGTCAAATGAATGACACTACTCGGATCTTGTATGCGCGTTTCGGAGACGCAGCACACATCTAGGGTGCGGGATTCTAAACTCCTAGCTAAAGAGGCCTGTTGTCCTATTTGGCACAATGTTCGTACACTAAAAGTTTCTACATGTAGTTTGGAGTGTGGTTTCAGGAGACCAGGAATAACGTTCCGTGTACTCGAATCGTTTTCCCTAGCAGTGCGAGGTGATAAAAGGACGTGAGAAGGGTTAATCGTAGAGATAAGAGAGTTATTAGGAGGTGTAGGAAGGATTTGAAAGTGATCAACTTGGTCTCGTGTGCAGTTACGGGTATCTATCACTTCCCGGCTGCCCACACCGTGGACGGGTATTTCTTGAGGGGCCTGAAAAGGAAGTTGGATTAGTGTTGATATTAACGACCTGAGAGCGTGACCGCAGTGCCCAAGGGACAACTTCTTGAGGCCGGTCACGTACGACCTTTTTGTGGGGGTTTTTTGACGTGTTAGCTCCGTTCTTCCAATGGCTTTACCGCCGGAGACGGAAATCCGTGAGGTAAGATGAGGCGTGATGCTTTTTAAGGTCGAGCTTTTTAAATCCCTTCCTTCCTTGTTAGAAGGCAGCATCACTGTTATACTGGTTGTCTGAAGAACACACCTTACTGTAGTCACACCTCTGTACAGTCGGCAGTACGACTTCACCTTCGGACCTTAGTTTGCTGCTTCTAGTCTTACCGCTCTTCAACCGACCTGCCTGGCATGATAGGACCTTGAAAAACGATTGTTCTAGCCAGTATAGCTCGATTAGTTCATCACGATAGGCAAGCCTGACCACCACGTCAAGGTAGCAGCAACGGTCGGGTTATACTCTTACTACCTCTACCACTATGGGATTTGAATCGACAACTGCATCTCTGTGCTAATGTGGTATGGCGACTCGAAGTGATGTACGTACGTACATACTTGCTGCCTGAACTCAGTTTTGGAGTTTGGATCTTACTAAGATTGTGTATATTGTAGTGAACACATTTATATCCGATTTGGTATATGTCAGTCTTAACTCACATAGGGTTGCAACCGCAAGGCAGTGAGGTCGGGCTCACTATTATCGCTAGATCATTGTGAAATAGGACTAAAAGCATCAACACTTACCCAATGCTATCGGTATCTTTCTTTGTATCTCAAATATACATGTAGGCACACTTGGACTCATTGGTAGGCATCAACCACGATTCAGACTGGCTAACCAAAATGCTTTTATATTTTTATTTGAACGCATAAACAGTACAAGGGGGCACCGAATACATATGCGTCACACAATGAAAATGAGGTCAGTAGTAGTTACCAATAATTTGTGTGAGGGCCGGGATATTAACCGGGTGCCAGAACCGATGCACGTGGTTTTCTTAAGGGGTCACACCCCGAGCCTGTAATCTGAATGTCTAACCCACAAGGAAGTGGAGCAACGTTAGGGGATGCAGCCCCACAGCAGCCAGTGACCGAAAATAGATTCATACACCTTTTGTTCTCTCAGGATCCTGGGGCTTATATGTATCAGTGGTTTAGAATCAGGGTTTTCCAACTCCCCTAGGTGAATCCTCCATATCCGCTAACTCGGTTAAAGCGCCGAATATTCGGTTTTCGTCCTCTCAATTTTGTAACCAACACCCTCGCCTCGATAATCCTGAAGGTACTTCAAAGTCACGAACTAATTAGGTTTCAGTCACAGCTTCAATGAATGGCTTTCATTCATTTATTAATACTCCTGCTTCATGGAATTCGTTTCATAAACCACGAGTATTTGTGCCGAAAATACCTCCGATAACACACCTAGAGTTTTACCTCACTTTTTTGTCTCCAGGATTTTAGTTTATTTTATCTTATCTTCCAGATACATTCCAAGGTCATACTCGAATATCGACAAAAGATTTCGTTGGTCCTGCGACCGTAGAATAACCTCCAGTGGTCCATATGGTCGAGGTTAAACATTTCCTTCAGTACTCTTTCCTATCCTTATGAATTTTCATGCAGTTATCTGGTACCATGCTGATAATAATTGTTTCGATCTTTTCCAAGTAATATATTTGTCAAATGATTGGATCACTGTCGTTTGAATCCAGCGAATTACACACAGTAATGCCCAATTAAATCAAACTCTTAACAACTCAAACATAGTCTAATTGCGGGATTTCCCTTGAGTATTCTATGACTCTAAAATACAGCCTACTGAAGACGAATTTTCGACTTCTTTGTTTCTATACAGCTTTCCCTTTTACGTCACTCGCGACAAATACATCAGTGCTGCTTGGAACGGTGTTGACCCTATCTAGGTAATCGGGAAAAACCTAAAAATCAAACCTAACAATGTTTATTAAATAGATATACTATATATTCCGCCACACGCATATTAGTCACTGTCAATACTCAGATCATCAATACAGAGAACACAAACATTCTTACAACCCAACGCCAGAAGTTTCATCGCCCCATATATAAGCAGTATACCACCACAACAGAAAATGTACGAAGTCAATGGGAGGAAGACTTTGAGCATTTTATTTCATGGGGTGGGTTTCAAATGGACACATATTTTGAGGAATTAGCTGTAATACTCTCCACATTCCACTATTTCTTCTAAAGAAACGAAACAACTGGACTGTCCATATACATAAGTGAAGACGATCATTGAAAAGAGATTTAAGGGCTAGGTGTGAAAAATACGGACAAACGTGAAAATGATTTAAAAACGGAGTATCGAAAAACGTATTTGAGAGAAATCCTAAATTTTAGTCGAAAGAGTTGAAGTTAAAATAGTCCAAATATGCCACTAGTGCAATATATACAAATGAGCGAAGTTTATTCCCATAAGGCATGCAAATTATCGCCATTTCAAGAAAAATAGGCTTTCTGTTATTTTTTGTTTGAGGAATAAAAAATACAAGGAACTTCCATTTCTGAATAAGTCAGTAAAAATGTAGCGATAAATATATCCCCAAAATCAATAGCTCTTTAATTCTTCGACATTTGATCCTGACCACATTAGCTTTATTATAATCACCTAACTGAAGACGCTCGGTCATGCGTCCACATCAAATCGGTGGAACGCCGTGCTCAACTTCTCCTGCAATCGCTAGCCAGTCTAGATCAGATCCTCGATATATTGATAACTTATCAAATATATTCTCGAACCTCCTCGCTTCTGTCTTTTGATTTCACTAGATCGGTACGATTAATAGTAGGTGTTACTAGTTAAAGTTTCGTCAAACTACAAATATTTGTGGCATCATCATAATCAAGGATGGCATGTTTTCGATTCGGACGTGAAATTCATCCGTTCATTTAGTTGACTGGGTTTTCAACATAAGCGCCAATGTAATTTCACGATGGAAATCTTTACCCAAATTTTCAACCCTAATTTCAAACCCTAAATCTTAATCCTAATTCCTCATACTAATTTATGACATTCTTTTGACCCAAATAAGCTAATTCATCGTTCTAAGGTCAAGTGAGTGCTGTCCAAAAGTCGTCTGTAAATTTCAGTCTTACCTCTAATTATTTCAAAAATGTCGCCTGCTTACCCTTCTCACTTTTCCATCGAGCGAAACGCTTGACGTGTCAAGGTCCTTTTGAAGAGTATTGTGTTTCAACGCACAAGGTCACTCGTATATTTCAATTCCACCGGTAACTTTTTCCATCTTAATTATCTGTTAGGTACCACCGTGCGTCGTTTTCCTACCTATTCTTTACTGGTTTGCTTCCTAATAAAAATTCAATTCCCAAATTTTCAAGCCTTGTTAGGGTGCTTTTTTCCAATTCCAAAGTATCATATAGGTTATAACCTGTTATATATATATATATATATATATATATATATATATATATATATATATAATATCTCGAGCTCGAGTGAGTTTCATGGGATATCCGTTACAGGTATGTAGGAAATGAAACAGAATATCAAGGGGAGTTTCACAGTTTTATAGAACACATGATCTTATTCCTTGTGCAAACAAAGCGAATTAACTTTCATTGAAAACCGCTTTTCATTGCCTAGTCACCAATGTTCATTAAAGATATGTTGGTATCATGAATAGTAGACAAAGAATTTTCGTAGTGCTTCCGTAAATCATCGAGCACAGAGAGAAAGTCCAGCTATGGGAAATCCGACTCTACGTATGTGAAGCTTTCATTGCCTTTCTGATTTTGCCTTGAAAAACAAAAAAAAGTTCAGGGTCAAACTATCCAAACTAGAGAACAAAACCACCAAAATATACGATCAGCGCTTCTATGATCAAATACATTAACATACTCATTTTCTCTTATTTTAAGGGGCCACGTTATCTTATCGAAACTCTATATTAGCCAAAAACTCAACAATCAACACTGTTTTTCGATCTGATCTATACGACTATATTATGACTAACTCAAATTTTCAAGAACATCAAATACATAATGTGCGTAAATCTCTCAAATGTTGTGTTATTCCTATTTTTGCATTCTCAGTGAAGTATAAATTATTTTGATTGATAGGAAGTTTCATAAGAATACGTAGCAGCTCATAACAAAATGATCGCATCACCTTGCCGAACTCTTCGCAGTATGTTCAATAAATATTGTTTATGCTTGGCCATTTATATGTGTGAACCATGGGAAAAGGTCATATTACGTATCCTTTTTCATTGCTATTATAAGGATTCCACTTTTTTTTTTACCTTAATCTTCAAATGCATAAGTTATGTAAATTCTCTTGAAAACCCATTAGTAGAAACTTTTCGTTTCTCTCATGGAGATTGTCCTATGTGGTGCACGTTTGTCATAGTTTCATTTACTGAAGTCGGTAAGAAAAGGTATTCTTAGGCTTTCAAGTGAGCATCATGGTGTTTTTAGTATTAAAGTGAAGTTCTTGACATACAAGCATCTTCAGTTACTTTGAAGACAAAAGGTGAATGAGTTGCGATTTTAGTTTCCCTTTTTGTTTTGGAAGTGTATACTGTTAATTACGTCTTATGAAAAATTTGTGATTGATTCCGAGTATGAGTTTCTAGCAACGGTAGTAAGTCACGAGAAGCTGTAAACAATGAGACATTTATTTCATATGAATACACGGATAGCTTGATTGGAAAAAATCTTGACCGTAATAGTGAAAAATATAGGAAGATTTCAAGGCATGAATGAAAAATGTTTGGAACCTCTCACAAAAGTCCCAGTTCGCGTTCTGAAGCAACAGCCGAAAGTAGTATTCAAACAAATATAAGGGGACCTAGTCAATATCACATTCTAAGAATTCCTAATTGGCATCAATGGATTTATGTGCATCATCCTGATAAATTCCAGCCGATTTTTTCGATGGAGTCAGTGATATTCATATTTTGCTTATCCCCTTAACAATTTCTGACAGATTGCATCACACTGGCAATAATCTGTGCTCTTACATATACTGCAGTTTTAATTGTTCCTAGTCACTTATCTACCCTTATAATATTTGTGTGGAAATGCCTGAATGGAGATAAGCATTGACATTCTAAAACTCTGAACAGCGTTTTATAATATTGTTAGTTATTTTAAAGTTCTTAAATATTTAAAACTAACTTTAAAAATATTTTTTTAACTATAGTTTACTCATCATTTATTCTATTTCTAAAAATATTCACACAAACCATGCGTTGTCCATTAGTAAATATGCTTTATTTTGCTGTGCATTAGAAGCTATGTAATTAATTTTATTGAAAACTGCCATTCAAATAGTATTTAAAGCTCCCCTTCAGTTTGTTCGTTCTGTTATTGTTGCGTAGTAACTGCAGAACACCTGTCACGTATACATACTTAATAAAGCGGATTAGAAAATGAAGATGAAAAGTGTTGACTCACGTGGATTAGTTGCTGAAGAAGCAAGAAAGCATTATAGTCTCTGTATGAACGTTTTTCTGCATGTACGTAACATACAAGTTATTTTAAAAAAAAGATAGGTAGTGGCTAGCGGCGAAACCCTGGACGCGCGTTTCGGCTTATCCTACAGTTCACTAAGACTTAAAACCAGTTCCTTTCTCTTCAAACCCCCATCGCGTTATCCACTTAGCTAAAGCCCCCAAATGCCCTGATACGGCCGAGAATGGGAAGAGTTAGCTCCCGCTCTCGAACTGCTCTCACACGACCACACGTGTACAACCACTGCCAAGGAAGCCCTACTCACTGCCTTCTTGTGGCGAGGGTGTTGTTTACAAAATTGAGAGGACGAAAAGCGAATGTCTGGCGCTCTAACCGGGTTGTCACTTATTATTTATTTATTTAAACACATAAATATTGGTACAAGGAAGCACCAGATAAATATGCGCCCCACAAATCTCATTCGATTTGTGTGAGGGCTGTGATACTGCCCAGGTGCCCAGACTGAAGCAGGTGGTTTTCTTAGGAGGCCACACCCGGAGCCTTTGACCTGAATGTCTGATCCACAAGGCAGTGGAGCATCGTGAGGAGATGCAGTCCCATGGTAGCCGGTGATCAACGGTTGATTCGTACGCCATTTGTTCCCTCAGGATACTGGGTCCCATGTGCACCACTGGTTTGGAATCAGGGTTTTCCAACTCCCCTAGGTGGACCCTCCATGTCCACCAACCCGGTTAAAGCGCCGGACATTCGCTTTTCGTCCTCTCAATTTTGTAAACAACACCCCCGCCACGAGAATGCAGTGAGTAGGACTTCCCTGGCAGAGGCTATATATTCGCTGGTCATATGAGAGTATTTCGAGAGGGAGAGGTGACTCTCGGCCGTACCAGGGCATTTGGGTTGTTGGATATGGAGGATTCACTTAGGGGGGTTGGGAAACCCTGATCCCCAACTGATGGTGCACATGGACTCCAGAATCTTGATAGAACAAATGGCGTAAGAACCAAGTACTAGTCACTAGCTACCATAGGACTGCATCTACTTACGTTGCTCTACTGTCTTTTGAATCAGACCTTTAGGTCAAAGGTCCCGGGTTTGGCCCTTTAAGAAAATCACGTGCTTCGATTTGGGCATCCAGGCAGTATTACAGCCCATACATAAGTGACTTGCGTGGCGCTTTTGTATTCGGTGCCCCTTCGTACCAATATTTATTTGTTCACATAAATAAACTTAGCTGGAACTAAATGCGCATCTTATATTCTATTGTCAACCACCATCCGTCCCTGCTCAAAATGCTTGTAACCTAATATTAATATCAGAGCGGTCCACACATAGAGCATCCCAGCCAATAGGGATTGATCGGTTGCAGTGTTAAACTTCAGTGGGAATAGATTGGTCATACAAATGACTATTAGCCTCGAATTCTAAGCCACTGCTTTGTCGTCTGAGTGCCATGTATTTTAGTTGTCAACAGTTGCTTCGCGTTATTTCTGAGTAGCGAGTTCATAACGCCAGAAACGTTTTGTTAAAAGCTTATTACTAGACTATGACACAAATCTCCGTAATGCTAACTATTTTTTCGGATTTATAACCACGTACTGCTTCGTTTACTAGTTTGTTATTCATACTCTGTGCAGTTTGGATCTCACACTGCATAGATTGAATGAAATTTATTGCGTGTGAATTCACAACTGACTTTGGGAGTTGAATGGATAAATTCCCGCCAAACGTCTTCATTCGAAGTGGTTTCTCAGTTTACTACTATAAAAACCCATATGCTTGTACACTATAATGCAATCCTAATTACGCCCACTATACCCCCTGGATCATAAGTTTACGACCAGCTTTCTTCCTCCTTTATTTCTTAATTACAGCCAGACATTCATTCTTTTGATATATCCTTCCAATTACCGACAGTGTTCTTACGTCTGCCTATTTTCCTTTGGCTCTGAAACTTCAAGTCATGACTTGCCATGTTATGCAGTTTGATGATTACCCCAAACTATGACCTATAGACCCCCAGCGTCTTTCCCTTATTGCCTCGGCTGAAAGCTGTTTTATTGTCTGCCAAAGTAGGTCGTCGTTGATGGTACCCGATCACCGGGTCTGAATTATCTTGCGTGGACGACTGTTTATAAATATCTGTACATTTATGATAATAAGTATGGTAATTCTCTATGTTTCAGCTCGGTACAACAGAACTTTGTATTGAATATTCCGACTTTGATGTTGGATGACGGTTGTTTTAAGTTTCGCATGTTCTTCAACTGTAGGAACGCGGTCCTTGTTTTGCCAATCTTTGTCTTTAAGTCTGCATCAGATCCTCCCTGTTCATCGATGATGCTGAGCGATCACGTGACTGTTTCCACCTGTTTCAGGACTTCTCCATCAAGTGTGATTGGGCTAGTGTTCTTCGTGTTTTATTTGAGGATCTTGCTTCTACCCTTGTGTATGTTAAGGCCTATTGATTCACGGGTTGTCTTCACTGCATTTGTTACTGTATATGGAATAGCGGAACTAGGTCCAAATCGTCTAGTTGCACGCAAGCTGCCCATTGTATACCATGCTTCTCCTCAGATGTGGAGTTCTTTGTAATACAGTCTCAATAAATCAGAAGCAAGAGTAAGCAGTTTTGTCTGATACCAGTCCTCACTTAGAATGCAGCTGTCCTACATGCACGACTCTGAGGTGTAGTCCGTCGTATGAATCCCAGATGATGTTAACGATCTAAGCTACCCACTTAAGTGTCGAAGAAGGTTAATATATGTAGGCTTCTTGTAAGTCGATGAACGCGAATGGAGAGGTTGCGTAAAACACGTTCAAGTACACTCGTTAATGTTGTTCTATGGAAATACATTACGCGGATATCAAAACTATTTTCTCGTAATTTTATAGCATATGGAAAATGTGAACTGGTCTTATCTCGATTTGGCATTCATCTTTAACATGATTTAATGTCTTAAAAAATCGTGTAGAAATATGAAAACTCTCCCCCTAGTCTGTAATGGAAGTGGAAATTTTTGGATCTAAGAACCTTGTAGTTGTATTTTAAACTAAAAGCTATCTAGTTGTTACCCATGGGCATTTTTATGCTTAGAGTTATCTCCAAGATGAGCTTATTATTGGTTAGTTGTTAGAACATAAACATAGTTATTCGTTTTCAGACATACGATTGACAAACTTTACTGTGAACCTGAAGCCATTTAATTTCTTCCTGGTTCTGCTGTTTGTCTCAGTGATTATTTTATTGATAATTTGAGTGAAGTTGTGGTTTCTAAACAGCCAACTTATTTAGTTAACAAACCCCGTTGTCCACATTTCGTCACATAAACCGATTACGGACAAACAATGCAAGTATGTATGATTGGCATACTATCACTTTCAGTTACAATCTTTTAGATTAGGTTTTTGTAATGTTCTCCGAATATCATTTAACCAACCTCCCTGTCGTATATATATACTGCAAAAAAGTCGTCGACTTTTAAATCGGCCAGGTTTTGAACAACAAACGGTTTTATTACATTTATATTATCCTGTTTTGTTGGAAGTTCATGTTTCTTTGGTCAGTTGGAACATCAACTATAAGTTCTTTCTGTTGAATTAGGAGCATCAATATTGATAGTGCATTATAGTTGCAGACCATTAAGCACATTAAAGCCCTCACGTACTGTCCATTAATCTGCATCCAAAATACTAACTTCTACAGAATAACGACATTGAAATTGTTATGAAAAATTCCGTTTTTCTGAAAGACAGTCGATAGATTTACCTATATATCACTCCACAGCTGGAAAATAATACTTGGTCTCTCTGATATAAATGAGATACTTTATCTATTGGCATCTCCCATACGAACTTTTTAAAGAAACATGTAGTAATACACTATATAAGAAACAAATTACGTTAGCATCTGAAATCAAATAGACTGTACAGAAAATTGAAGCAAGACGTTTGAAGAGCCAGCTGATTTTTATGTCTAGATACAGTAAGTCTCAACATGCAGTATTGGTATATAATTCCCATTTAAACACTAAAATTAAAACACGGAGTTCAGCGAAGGGGTCTCTTTTCAACGAATTTATTATCAAGCTGTACAATCGTATATATATATATATGAAAATGTTTTGTTAAAGTACTAATTCCGTGAGGAAATGTAAACACTAATAGCCAAGATTATGATACTAGATTACGTAATACGAGTAGTAAACAATAGATTTAGTGAATATAATAAGATGATTAAAATGAATAAAATGTTTTGGTTACAATAATTAGAGGTCATAGAGGTGTAAAAATAAATAAGGTGATATGATGGGTATTCATGAATAACATAATGAGAATATAAGATATAAGTAAAGGGTAAATGGAGTAATAATAATAATATTAAGGCCATGGTAACGATAATGATAAGGCGTACTTCTTTTGTACGCATAGTTCTGGTTTGAGCTCATGGATGGTAAGAGCTTTGGCTATTTTTAGGAGTTTGATACGAAGAAATCTAGGTAGATTTGAATGAATCATATAAACAACCTTAAAATCAGACTGTGGATCCGTAGAATGATTACAGTCGATTAGGTGTTCAAGTATAGAACGGTATTATTTTTTCAGCTGTCAAGTTTATATGTCAGTTGAAGTTGATAACTGGTAAAATTAACATAAACTCTGGTGTCAATAAGTAAATTATTAATAGTGGGCATTTGTGTTATACCAAAATGTAAAATTATCTAAGAATAGTACACTGGAAACATGCGAAGCCTGAAGGAACACTAATTGAAGCTGTTTGTGTTGCTAATCAACATCTAATTGGTACTTTTTTAACACATATCTCTTTGTCAGCACCCTTTTGTTGCTATGATTTCTTGGCATAGATAGAACAGTGATTTTTAATATGGTGATCTTAAATGAATAGCGATCACCTTGGGTTATTATTCTTCACACCTGTTCTCTAGGTAATTCCATAAATATTATTTTACCACCTGACTAGGCAAAATTTTATGTATGACTTGCAGATATGAATGAAGATTTTGATAGTCTCTTTCGGTTGTTGGGTCCAACAATTGAAAAATATATGGTTAATGATGAAAAGAAATTTCTTCCGAATCTTAATAAAAACAATGGTAATGATAAATAGGTAAATTATAAGTAAGGGTCACTGGTAAATAAAAACCACAAAAATAGAACACCAATAGCCATAAGAATACTAAAACAAAAGGATAATGTATAA